AGTTGTTCAGTGGAGGCACTTCCCAGAATCTCCTAGAAGAGGTTTCCTCAAAAATGTCTTCAAAGTGAAATGGAGTCCCCTGCCATTAATTAAGTGGCACCCAGTGACTTTTAGGCAGTTTCAGAAGGAAAAAAGAAAAAGTCTGTGAAACCGTTTGATCATACATATTTTGCAAATTTCAAGTGCAGGATGAATTTTGATTTTTACAAAAATTCTTTATAGCTAGCTCAAATCATCTGTTTAAAAATCCTGCCTTTGCTTTAGGAATTTGGGTAAGTCTACCTTGGCTAACATTCTGGAAATCGGGTGCAGTGTTTCCTCAGCTGAAGTATTTTCACATAATACGTATGTCCCTGCTTAGGACTATTAACTTGTTTTTTGCATTAAACTACCAGTTCACAAACATGGATCAGTGACCTAAAAGTGGTTCACTGAAGCATAAAAGGAGTGATGAAAATACTAACGTAAATACTGCCATAAAGAACAATCTGTAAATGGAAATAATTAACAAGACTTGCATGCAAATACAGATTATGAATCTAAATGTGCTGGGACAAGGAATGTGTGAATGATACGCATTCTCACAAGCAGCAGCCCCTGCCAGGTATGATCCTCCTGGCTTCCAAATTCACAACCTCCTGTGACATGGGATAGGTTTTATTGGGAAAGGTCAAAGCTTCGAGGCCAGGATCGGCAAGAACAAAAAAGGAAGGCACTGTTGTTTCTCAAACACACGCCAGCATCTATGGAAAGGCTTGCCAGGGCCCAGGACCTGTTCTTTTGACTTTTTATAGCACAAATTTTAAATGAGTCTTGTCAACAGGGGGACTATACTACACAGTCTGCTTGACATTGGAAAGTTAAGATTTGAGGAACCAGCAATCTACACAAGTTATCTGAGACAGCCAGCTGTCCAAGACAGGGATAACACAGGTCCCATGGGTAGTTACAGTCTCCACTGTCTGCCATCAGTCCTGAGGGTAATTGGGTACAGCCTCTCCAGATGGAGAAAGGGGTGGGCTGGGGTGCATCCCTACCTAGATAATTGTGCAAGAAATCCACAAGAAGTAGCCAGGATCACTTACAGACAATACTGCTCGCGCACAGCAACTAAGCAGTGGGCAACAACAACAGTGTTGAACAAGCCAGACATCTTCCTTATTAAATGTTTTGGAGTTAGTTTTTGCTAAAATCAGTCAAAGTCCCATCAGGAAGCAGAACAAATGTGGTAACTGAGGAGAGCTTATTAAAGGAACTGTTCACAAACAGGTGAGCAGCCATAAGTAAAATCAACAGCAGCAGGAGGAAGCCATTACCACCTCTAGGGCTGGAGGGGCGAGGGGAGGAATGGTTACCCGAACCCCAAGACGGCTCTAGCTGTGGAGGGGTCCGAAGGACAGAAGGTGGCCTTCAGGGATTTTGGTGTAGGAATCCAGCTACTTCTAATCTGTAATCCTGCAGAGAGGGGACTGGGAGAATAAATACCCTGATCTCACTCTTCCACCTTCCAAACCCCTGGTGATGCTCCCATTGGCAAAACCCAACCACAAGTCAGAGGGCAAGGAATGTGGCAAAATCAGCTGATGAGGCCCATAAAGGTTGGCACGAGACCAAGCGGAGATGGGGAGAGAGTGGATATGAGGGGTGAGCGAAAGTGTCCACATACTAAGAAAGACAGGAACCAGTGGCAATTCTGGGGAGGTCGGCTTAGGAGAGCTAAGGAGATGAGAGACTGATTACAGAGCTGGAGTGGGTAAGGAGAGATGATAAGAGAGGGACTATTTTTTCAATATTTTGATCAGGAAGGAAAGCAAAATGGCATAAAACTATCTTAAAGAGATCTCTGTAGTTGGAAAAGATAGTATTGTCTGGTTTGGAAAAAGGACTTAAGTTTCATCTGAAGAGCAGAAGGATCCATTGTAAAGGGAGTGACTACAGAAAGAGGGACAAACATATGGACCCAAAATGGGAAAGGACAGAGTTTTGAAGACAAGTATTAGTGTTACATAAATATTCTCAAAATAGTATTATACCAACTGTTTTCTGGAAATCATTATCCCATCCTACAATAATTACTCACTCTTAGAATGTATACTATAGTATACTATAGTATGTTTTATTAAGGTAAGACTTCACAATGTTCTCACATATGACCTGAACAGACTATAGTACTTGGTTGAAATGAGAAGACCAGATTTAAGTATTAGGTAAAGGTTAAGAAAACTTTAAATACATTTTAAAATTAACTATTGGAATACTTTCTTTGCTAAAAATAAAATATGTAACCAGAGTGAAGGCAATTACAAATTAAATTGCTTTCAGTCTTTTTTCATTCTACATCTATCAAGTTTCACGGATCTCAAGGCAAGAAACAATGCACTGTCTAAATTCAATCTCTAGAATGATGAGATCTCTCATTACCATTTAGAGGCATACTGAATTGTTTCCTGCCTGATCTTCTTAAGATTATCATTATCTATCACTTAATAGATTGAAGACCTCAGGAATCACAGTGTTTGAACTACTAACATGTCATTAATCTCATTAATGGCATTATTTTGTTTATTGTTGAAGAGCCTCACCATATTTAAAATGAGCCAGAGACACAGGAACAACAAAGAATGGAGTAGAAATGTTTACCTACCCTAAGAACACAGTTAGAATCTGTCAGTATTCATTGCCAAATATTGCCACACTGTCGATATCCATTACAAAATTATCTAGCCCTTTCTTAAGCATTTTCCTGATACTTAAAAGTATGCTTTATTTTAAACATCCAATACTTGGTTAAACTGTTAGAATTATGAAAATGCCCCTCTTCAAGAGAATCTGATTTTATTTATAAAGTGTTGTACTACTCACAGGTTTATGGACACATCGATTGGAAAACTTTCTTTAGAACAGGAACCTGAATTCAATTGATCAAGTAATATCAAGCTACCCCACATTTCAATGTGATGGGGTAAAAGTCAGTGGTCTTTTAAAAAATAACTGTGAACTAGACCCATATGCTTCCTTTTCTCTTCCAGTCCTAAAACAATAGACTAAGATAACAAACGGAATTTTGCAGGCTTTGGTTAGAGGCCTGTATCTTCAAAAGACACCTAGGAAGGAAGACTTAAATGACTTCCCACGTAAGAAAGCATATCACCTACTGAGATTTGTCTTTCTTGTTGGCACCTATCTACAAAAGAAATGGGAGGCTAAGATCAGCTTCAACTTGTGCAAATTAAAAGTAACCTTCAGGCTAATGGGTTTTCAACACCACTTCTTACTGAGCAAAACATTTATGTCCCATAAAATTAAATTACCTCCTCAAAACCGACTTCTCTAACAAATTACAACATTGAATTTTTTAAAGTAAAATTGTAATTCCTACAAAACAATTCCCCACTCCCTGAGGTAACCTTCCTATTACTGTTAGAATTGATTCCATCTTTAATGGAGTTTTGCATCTGGTTCTGGGGTCCAAAACCAAAAACAGGAGAAGAAAATCTAAAAACTGTCAAATAAATGGCAGCAAAATTAAAGGCCTGAAAAGTAAGCCAGATCTTTGAGATCACTGGAACTCCACGTTAGAGAAATAAATGCTTTATCATGTCACCAAACACTAAATTCAAGGAATATGGTAGGGTCCTTACCTTGAAGGTGACCAGCTGTCTTCAATTTCTTTGGAGCAGCAATCAGAAGGAAGTAATGAAAAAAATTAAGCACTGTAATGACTTTCTAAGGTGGTGACTTTTGTATTAACTCTAGCGATCACTAAAAAGTGACTATACTTTCACCAATTGAAGAAGTTTTAATATGGTCCTATTAATATCCTATATAATGGGGTTGCAAGTCATAAACGTATTGTTGCATGCATTCTTTGTACTGAGAACTAAACTAGCCCCTTCAGAAGTGAAAATATCAAGGGAAACAGTAAAACCCACTTGAAAAGATGGGCCATACAAGACTAGAGACGACTCAAAAAGACAGGTTGACAGTACAAATTGTATACTTTGAACTATGAGACAATTTGAAGGCAAGGCACAGTTATGAGGTTATATAAAGCTAATGTGTTAAATATGGTCTAAAAGACAATGGGCTAACATAAAGGAGAGGTTCATGATGAAATATTATCCTGGTAGCTGTGTACAAGATGGACTAACGTCAGGAGAAGCACAATATTAATACTAACACTAATAATATCAAACACAGACCACTACTAGGTGTCAAGGCTGATATAAGCATTTTCATACATATATTAACCTGTTAAATCCTCATAGTCATGTTTGGAGGCCAACACTGTTATTTCATTCAACAGATGAGGAAACTGAATCACTTAAATAATGTCTGATTTTTATAGGAAGTGTCCTGCATAGCAACTTCCATGCAGATAAATATAAGCCAAGTACATTTCATTTTCAAAGCAGGCGTTGATCATCCACAGAAGTCAAGAATACTTATGCTGCTATGTGATATTTCTTATTGTTTTTAAATGTTTTTGTTGTGGAACACTTCAAACATATACAAAAGTAGAAAGAATAGTACACTGACGGAACCCCTTCCATTCACGTACCTAATCTAGATTCATCTACTATACTCCACTCATTTCCTGTGCCCCTCCCTCATTATTTTGGAATAAATCACATATTTTACATCATTTCATCATCACTAAATTGTTAGGCATGTATCTCTAAAAGATAAAGACATATTTTTCCTTCTAAACATGACCACAATACCACCATGATACTTTAGTATTTACAATGATTGCTTAGTATCAAACATCACTCAGTGGTTGAAGTTCTAATAATGTATCTTACTTTAATACTTGTTGAAACTTGCAATGTGCTAGCATTAGGTACTTTGACATATATCATTTCATTTAAATTACTGCTACTTGAATTGCCTTTTCCCCACGTTCACTCCTACTAACTAGAACTACTCTGTCTCTTCAAGAGGATTCAGAGCCTCCGCAGCGGGCTGCTGTCGGCCTCCCTCCCGGCCTCCTGCTCCTCAGCGCGGTCCCCAGCCCTGTACTCGGCGGGAGGAGGCTCGGGCCCGGTGCCGCCTTCCGCTGGGATCTGTTCCCAGTCCCAGGGACGCCAGCCCCACCCCAGTTGCCTAGGTGACGAGGGGCCGCTTCTCTCGGCCGGCCGTGATCGCGGCGATGTCGCAGGGGACGACTCCCTGGGGGCCGACCCCAGCAGGGCCGACCCCGGCGGGAACAACGCCCGAATCGGAGGTACGCCGCCCCTTTCCCTTCCCGGTCCCAATGCCGGTACCAGAGACCTCCGAGCGCTTATTCCCCGTCCGCGGAGTGCACGGCCGAGCCAAATCCGGTCTCTGAAAAGGCGCCGCACGTCCGGCCTCGGCTGGTGAGCGGCCCGGGAGGGCGGTGGGGCTGGGAGCTGCGCTGGGGTCCCGGACACCCTCTGCTGCCCGGCGCCCCCCAGCCGTCCCCGGCGCGCCATGCACGGTGCCAGCGGGTCTAAATGTATGAATTCTTCCATTGGACGGCTCTTGCCCAAACGCCCTCATAACCACGCGCTTCTACCGCAGGTTTTGTTTTTTGTTTTTTGGGTGTTTTGTTTTGTTTTGTTTTGTTTTTTGTTTTTTGTTTTAATTCTAAGTAAAATAAGTGATCTCAGATTTTTAAATGGGCCAGTCTCTTTTTGAAATTGCTACTAATTCTGTAATGATTACAGTTGCGATTGCTCAAAAGATGTCATGAAATAATAGCTGTTTACTGGTGATGGACTGATTAATATTAGAAGGTTGGTGTTTCCATTATTTTGCGATTTTTTTCTAAACAAATAAATACAGGTCAAAGGACACTGGCTGGAAAATCTTCTCTCGTTATGGCTTTAGTTGCTCATCAACTTGACTTTAAGGAATGTTATTTAATCTCCTTGGACATCAGTGGCCTCCTGTGTGACAAAAGGTTGATCTTTAGGCCCCTCCCGTCACCAGCTCTCCATAATAAATGGGTTTTAAGTAACTTTACTCATAAACTTAATATCCTGAGATTTTAAGAACACATCTGCCGTGCCAGATATTACAAACAAAACATGTTTAAATCTTTGCACACAGAGTCTATTATTATTGTTCCTAGGAAGTTGTTTTTCTTCCGTCAAGGCTCTAAAGGTGAATAATCATGTCTTAATTAACATTGCTTGTCTTCATTATTCGTTGTTCTAAACAACATTCTTTGTGCAGAAGATAAGTGTTAGCTACAATTTTATAATGAGGAAACACAGAGAGCCAATAATTCCATGCCTTGCTCAGAGATATGTAAGCTGTTCCCAGCCGAGATTCCTACCAAAATCAAATGCAGACCGCTAAGGCATGCGGACTCTCATATGAGCCTTTTGAAATTAGCAGACATTAAAGTACATTTTAATGTGATAAACTGGTTACTAAGCCTATTACTCCCTTGTGATCGCTAATGTAAGTAATACAATTTCAAAAGTAGCACAGGAAATTTTCCAGTTACATTGTGTTATTTAAATATATACCAAGCTTAAGACAACACACAATTGTCAGTGTACACATACACATGCTCACCCATGTAGATCATGTCCTTTCCAAAAAGACTGATCATTTGGGGTCTTAATGAATCTGGACTTTAAAAGTTACATAATTTTTTAAAAGATGTAAAGAAGTGCTATGCTTCGGGAGAAAAGACATCATTTGATAATGGTTGAGTCAGATGAATGAGCTAGTTACAGGCCTTACATGATTATCTACCGTCTTAGGATTGTCAGCTTGCACATTTGTCAACTTCTTGGAGGGGCAGGTATTCTCATGACATGCAATTCAGGATGTGCTCAATCACTTAGTAACAAACAGAAGAAATCAAGTTGAAACAGAGACTCAATTAGCAGTGCTCATTTACTAAGATAACACACTAATTCGCTGCTTGGTGGAAACTCCATTTTCCATTTTAATGAAAGCAGAGTTCCTGTAGTTCATGGGGAATATAGTTGATCCACAGAGCTGTGTCATTCGTTAAAACAAATCCTGCCTGCCACCCATTTGTGCTGGTTGGGGGTGTCGTATGTTAGCTAGAAAAGATGGCAAGATTCTCTCTTGTGGTCTGTTCCCAAGGCCACCACTTTTTAGGTAAATACTGAAAGGTTCTTCTCAAATCAGATTATTTACAGTGTTGATCCCCCAACAGCTAATCACTTATGGTGTCATTTCTAATAAATTCTCTATCCAAAATGACTTAGCCAATAGCCCATGTAGTCGACTGAGCCAAACAGTACTGAATTAGTTCCTTTCTTGCCAAGTGCATCAGAAAGAAAGCATAAGCTTTCAGTAGTCCCATGTTTCCCATTTGTTGTTTGTGGCCAATACCTAGAATAGAAGTAATTATCCCAATCACATAGTAGGCGCTCAGTAAATTATGACTAATTAAAATCATGGATGGTCTGAGGCATGCCAGGAAAGGTGGTTATCATAGATTAAAATCTACTCTATGAGTTACTGTGAACAAGCAGATACGAGGTGCAGATCCAGAGAACTAATTTTTTCTGTGGCATTGAATAAATCCTGCTTGCCAGCCTTCTGAGTTCAACATTCCTTTAGTAATACTGGAGGAAATGCCTCCCTTTACATGGTAAAACTAAACTTTTGGCAGATATCTGTATGAATGAATAACAGAAAAAAATGACAAAAATCTGAAAATAAATGTTTGTTATGAATAGATCTGTAAGTAAAAGGAGTTTATAAATGTGCACTTGGAATTCAGTGATCAATCTTGTATCAATAATTTGTTCATATACTGACTTTCTTAATATCTTCAAAAATATCTAGGGAATAAAATCATAAGTAGCATACTTACAAGGGATATACTTCAACTTACATCAGAGACCTAAAAGAAAACACAAATGATTATTTCCCAATTGCTTCTTCTGAATAATGTCTCTTGAAGTATGACCACATCACCCAATAGGTGACAATTAATGCATTCACGGCTTTATCAGGATAGGACACTTACATAATTTTGAGAGGAAAGGTGATGTAACCTGTCTAGGAGATCATCAACATGTCCTGGAGCAGGCCATAGACAACTCTTTCTACATTGGGTGTTCCCTAAAGACTTTAGAAAACAGACCCCACTCCATCATTACAGAGAAAACTCAGGGCTCAATTGAACAGCAAAAGTATTAGTTTCCTGCAACATCAGTGTCATTCAAGAAGTATTTCTTGAAATTATGAATAATTCAATGTAAGTGAACACGTTGAGATCACATCGTACAGATCAACCTATGCAGACTATGGGGAAAATGCCAAAAACGTCACTTAAAATATTGTTGAGAAAACAGTACTAATGGAACTCAAAATGTGAGTACATGGTAGTTGTATTTATCAGACACTTAGAACCTGTAGCAAATTCTGGCTGCAGCATGGAGATATTGACGAACACTTAGCCTTGTCATTCTTACTGTCGGTCTTTGGGTTTACTGTCTTATTTAAGAAGTCCGGCTCCTCCTCTCCCTTTTGTCTTCCTCCCTAGATGGCACAAATCATCTTCAAAATTTTTCTAATATTTAAAGTTGTATTTTACTATGAATTTGGTCTTTAGCAAGTCTAGAATATTTTTATGTTTGAAATGAGGATCTAATTTTATTTCCTTCTAGACGTGAATTATCGATTATGTCAGCTTCATTTACTAAATAAACTATCCTGTCTCTTCCTATTGAGAATAGACTGACTGTTGCTATCACATTATACATATAAATGAATGGACAAAATAGGCAGCAGAAGAGAATAGCAAATCCCAAAATATGGGTGTATATTTTATATATAATTTTATATATTATATATAAATATAATTACATTATATATAAATTTTATATATTTATAATATAATTATATATTACATATACATTTTACATATAAGTGTAACTATAAATTATATATTTTATTACATACATTTTTATTTTAAAAAAATTTATATATGCATACATATACACATAGTTATCTATATAAAATAAATTTTTGGATCCTCTATGCTTTTCCACTCACATGTTTGTCCATTAATGTGTCTATATCATGTCGTTTTATATTCATCTTTAAGATCTATTTTGGAAAGTTCATTCTATTTTTTTTTTGACAAGTATGTCTTCTTCCATAGGAACTAAAAAGTTATTTTGTAAAGTTCCAGAATAATCTCATTGGGGTTTGAGATTGTCATTACATTACATTTATAATGTAGGAAGGACTTAGTTCTTTGAATTTGAAAGTTTTTAATAAATCTCTTTTATCAAGTCTTGTTCTTGAATTTTGATAGTTTTATAATTTATATAGATACTCTACCTTTCTCATTATATTTATAACCAAGTATAATTCAATCAAGATTTTACCATTTCTGTTTCTAATTAGCCTCTTATATAGGAGAAAACTGACTTTTATATATTTATGTTATATAGAACCATCTTGCCAAATTTTTTATTAGCAATAACTTTTTTGTTAGTACCACATCAGCTTTCTTAGGTATGCAACCTTGTAATCTTCAAATAAGGATTTTTAAATTTCCTCATTTCTGCTATTTAAGTTACATATTTAGTTTTCTTATTGTATTAGCTAGAACATCTATAGTGTGTTGAATTACAATAATGTTAGCATCCATAACCTTTTTTTAGTTCCTTGTTTTCGTAAGAAGGACTTAGGATTTCACTATTCAATATGATGCTTGCAATATGATTTTGCCAGTCTTTTTCGTGTTCAGCATTTTTTTCTTTTCATATTTTACTGGGAGTTTTGCTGCTGAGTCTTAGTAAGTGCATATTTATTATATATTTAAATAATTATAAAATTTGTACCACTTAATTTGACACAAAAATTATATTAGACCTGTTAATGATGATCCCTCCTTGGATCTCTAAAATTAATCTTGTTTGGTCATAGGTATATCTTGTAATTGTTTTAGTACATTTTAAGATTTGATTTTCTAAGATGTATTTTAATTATAATTTTTGCATCTGCATTGATTTGTGATTTTGGTTTATAGTTTAACAAAAACCTTTTTTGTTAGTTCAGGGTTTTGTGTGTAGACTATGGTGGCCTCTTAAAAATGAACTCTCTATAGTCTGTAAATATTAGGCTAACATAGAATTTATGTGTTCTTTGATTAATAAGTAAAACTACAAGTGTAAAACCATCTGGGCATGGTGACTTTTTAGAAAGCAGACTTCCAGTTTAGTTCATCTTTGATCACATCAATTTTGTCATCTACCCTTGATCAATTTTGAGAACTTACATTTTCCCAGGAAATCACCCACTTTCTTAAAATTTTCTAATATATTGCCCCTGCATGTGACAAAATTTATTTTATGTTTTAGTCACATTTGTCAAAAATTTGCCCATTTTATTAACTATTCTAAGGAATCAGCTCTTGCTTTTACTTATTCTTCTTTCACTTTTTAAAAATTGTTTTTTAAAATACTGACTTTTTAGCTTCATAGCAGGACTATGGTAAGGTGAATGAGGCATTCTCCTTGGGCACGGAATTGAAGGAAGTACCAAAATACTCAGTAATCAAGATAAGTTGTATTTTAATGCAATACTTTAAAACATCAAACCTAATGCCCCAGAAAAATCCCTGATGGATTAAATTTTTCAATAAAGACCAGATCTGTATTACTGACTTTTCCTTTCGCTTCAGCTCCAATATGGCTTAGCACAGCACTGCTCCTGCTCCTTGGTTCATTTACTTCCAGTCTTGAAAACAACAGCAACAACAACAACAACAACAAAAACACCTTCCAAGTCTAGAATTTGCAGACCAGTCTATGTCCTCTGTGACTAGGAAACTTCTCCTTAGTAATCTTTAGTGAAATCTGTTATCTTTCTTTTGATGAATACTTATTAAGCATCTTTTTAATATAAAGCACCACCAGTGATGGATACAAAGATGTCCCTAAAAGTTTACATTCTAGAAAGAAAAAATATATACAAATGTGAAAAGTTTAGTTGACATTAGAGAGGGGAAAAAATTAGAGAAAAACATTATCTGGCAGATAGTATCAGGCTTATAGTTTTATTGCTCTTGGAATGACTCCTAAAATCCACCAGGTGGTGGAGTAAAATGAATTAACAGTGCCATTTAACTTACGTATTTTCCTAGTTGGAGATGTAATTTTACAGAGAAAACCACAATTACACAGCACATATTTTAGCTTATTTATGAATTTTCTATTATATCTTTAATTTTTACAAAGCAGAATGTATGTGTTGAAAGATTAAACATTTTTAGCCATCTGATATCCTTCTCATGCAAGGCACTGTATAAACAAACAAGAAAGCGGTCTGGTTTAAAATAGGTCCAGGAATATAATTTAAAACAAAAGAAAAAACCCAGAGGCAAACTCCCCTAAAAGATGATTATATGAAGCCTGCAAATTTTAGTAAAAGAATAAGGCTCTAATATTAGGCATCTTAGTTAGAATTAGTACTGTCCAAAAGGTTAAGATTATTGGATTCTCTTTCATATAGTTCTTGTGTGACCTACTTTTCTCCTATCCAGAGATTTTTCAAATCAGATAAATTGATCTGAATGTCTGTATAATTCACTTTTCATGTATATCTTTATTCATTATTAATATGACAGTAATCTTGTGTGTATTAAAACACATAAAAATGATATTTAATATGAATTCAAATTTAGGTTCAAATGACTTGCCTTGAGTCATAAAATTAATCATTAGTCAAACTATCATGAGATCTGGAGTTCCTCTAAGTCCTGCTTTTCATCATGCTTCACTATCTAACAATGTAATCAGATGATGAAGATGAATTTAGACAGTCAGTTAGCAACCTATGTTGACATATCAAGAACTGCAGAATTCTAAAAAGAAATGAAAGATTGAATGACTGTCCCTGAGGAATTTACAATCTAATGGGACTGACACCATAGGAATGATTATACTTTACCACTAATAAAAATGTGTATAACCAAAATCATTTAAACAAATATATAACCATATATTATAGATCAAAACAGTATCCTAAACAAAACCGGGGTGCATTTAATTCAATTTGTAAGTATCTGAGTACCTACTAGATGCAGCATACTAAAATACTTTTTCCTTAATGAGTTTATAATCTAATTATATGACCTAGTTTAGATTAATTGACCCACCCTAGCTTACAAAAAAAGTGGCTAATAATGTAGCATATTTTATTTCTAAATTAGATTTTCAAAGATAAAAACGTAGCACAATAACCTAACATTAAATTACAAACATTAAGCCAATTACCATTACCAATAAGTGGTAGGTTTGATATTTTTCCACTCTTAAAAAAGAAAAAGAATTTGGTATGTTATCTGGTAAACTACAGCAAGGCAGTTTTGTTTTTTTTGTTTGTTTGTTTGTTTTTTTGTTTTTTGTTTTTTTTGTTTTTTGCTGCCCTTATCTATCAGAACTCAGTCGCATGGAACACTCAATAACTATTTGTTGAACTGAGAAACATTTGCCCTCTTTCCCCACAAAGTCTCATAATTTTTTATTTTTGTGTAGCTGCTGCTGTCTGGCCTCTATTTCCCTATCTCCTCTTCCGTCTCCCCTTCACAGCTCTTCTCTGCATGCCCTGGCTTTGAGCAGTCTCATCCATTGTCACAGTTGCAGTTGACTCCTAAACCAGCGTCTGTAAACCTGACCTTTGTGACTCCAGCCTTTCTAACTAAACTCTAAACATTTCTTTCTCGCTATTAGTATTCCACCTTAAACTCACTGAAATCAACTCATCATCTTGCTATTTAAAAATTAGCATCATCTTCCAACACTCTATTTCTAGCATATTAAAAGGGTTGGCTGAGCGCGGTGGCTCACACCTATAGTCCCAACGCTTTGGGAGGCTGAGGCGGCCGGATCACGAGTTCAGGAGATCGAGACCATCCTGGCTAACACGGTGAAACCCCGTCTCTACTAAAAATACAAAAAAATTAGGCGGACGTGTTGGTGGGCGCCTGTAGTCCCAGCTACTCCGGAGACTGAGACAGAAGAGTAGCGTGAACCCGGGAGGCGGAGCTTGCAGTGAGCCGAGATTGCGCCACTGCACTCCAGCCTGGGCGACAGAGCGAGACTCCGTCTAAAAAATAAAAATAAAAAAGGTTAACATGTACAGTTATGCAGGTTGTGTTCTGAACAAAAGCACTTGGCTGAGGGGTGAGTGGGCTCTAAAACTAGACTCTATTCACAGGCAATACACTTGGACACAGGGCTGTATCAGCCTTAGGGAAATCTTTTTAGCACTTCCTCTACCCAAAGAGGATACCTTTGTCTAATGCACATAAAGGTGGCGTATGTATTATTAGTATCACCACCATTTTCTCCAACTCACCTATTTCAGAAACTCAGAATCTCCATTCTTTCTCCCCTCTTTTAGGCCCCCATAACATGACTACATTCACCACTTTCTTTTCATCCACACTGCCAAGGAGACCAGAGCAGTGCCACGCTTCATCCCTGCCCTGTTTAAATGACCTCTTTGTTTAACTCTTCCTCTGCTCCTGTCTTTCCTTCACCCTCCACTAGATTACCCTTCCTTAAAGCACAGTTTTGTCTTGTCATTTATCTGCTTAGAAACTTCATGGTTCTGAGCGCTAATTATCTGTGTTACCAGAAACAAACTTCTCAGACTACCATTGTTCAACCAGCCAGGGTCTAAAATATCTATGATGCCTTCACAATGTCCTGTGCTTTGTGAGCACTCACTTGTTGAATCATTAAATTTAAGATCGCCCACCATACCTTTCCAATGCCCACTTCCACCTAAGTCCAACTAGTCCTCCTCATGTAACCTAGGTAACATTGTGAATTGCTGATATTTACAGAACTCATTTCTAACTATCCTATCTTCATAACCTCGGTGTTGCTGGTTCATTCACATGGAGCATTGGCCACACCCAACCCTCCAAAGCCTATTCCTGGAATTCCTCTCTGTAGAGTTTCTTTGTCTTTTGCTTTTACTTGTCCTTTCTTTTAGACTGAATGCTGCATTTATTATGGCTTACTTGTGTTCTTTTCTTCTTTTAACATCATCCTAGGCTTGTTTCTCTCACTAGATGTTAAGCTTCTTGAGGTTAGCACATCTTTCTTGTTTATATTTGCCTCCTCATAAGCCCTAGATTCAATGAAGAATGTACAGATAATAAATATTTGTTGAATTGGAAACCATCGCCCAGTTGTACATACACCCCAAAGACAGATTGACTGTTAGCCATTTGACTTTTCAGGTAAAAGGTACCATTGCATAATATGGAAAAGAAAAAATGTCATCTCGAAGGTTGTTGTTTTTAAATGTTTGTCCTGACAGCAACTAGACCATAAGAAGAACCAATTTTGATATTATTGGGTTTAATATATGAATGTACAATTGCAATAACTCACTCCGCATTGTGTTTTGGTAGAGAGACACTGAATTCCAGGAGCATGAAAAGATTCTGTCTCCGGATTTTCTTTCAGTTGACCAAATCACTGATTTGTTAACGGAGGACGTCGATGGAGTTCAAGAGTAAGCACTTCACTATTACAATCATATGTAGAAGAACAGTCGAGTTTTGCATCTGTAAACCATTGTGATTACATATTTAAGATTTCTTCAAAATATTTGTTATGATATTATGCGCTGAAATAGATCTGGACTCCGAAACACAAAAATTCTCAAATAACTGACTTTTTGCACTACTCAACAGTCTCCTTTATAAAGAAAATGTATTGCAAACCAGCTTACTAATACTTACCAAGAGCAGAGGTTTGTTGATAAAAGCAAGCTCTAGCATATGTCGTCTTCTTTTCTCTTTCATTCATAAAACTGTCAGTATGCACATTAACTTAAAGGATGTTCTCCCTCGTTGTAAGAAAAGTAAGTTGTGTTTTCTGTAATGATAATGGCCAATACACTTTATTTTTTTGGAAATCTTGAGTATTTGCCATCCACCTGTGATTTTCATCAGAAATAATGCTATACTAAGTACTCTGAGTACATGTTACTTAAAAATGTGAATACGATGGAATTTATAGTCAGCAATTCCAATATGTGTACATCTCACTCTTTAGGCCATTTATTTCTATAGTAGATCATCTATTTAGAACTTTTGTCAGATCTATCCAACAACATAATATCCTAAAAGGTATTTTTAGTAATCACCCATTTAAAAAATGATCCTAATTTAGAATGGAAGCCTAATTGGCCATCATGTGTGGAGAGTGGGGATGATGTCATGCACTAGCATCCTGGTATCAGGTCTCTGCAGGCCAGTCCTTGGGACACAACCAGGGTGTTGTGGACTATAACAGACAAATAGAAAATGACTCTGTCAGTGGTTATCACTGACAAATCTTACAAATGTTATAGCATGAAGATGACTTGCTACTGAGAAGGGAATATGACAAATGTCCTGACTGGAAGAAAAATCCGAGAAGGGAAGGTTTATCAAGAACGGGTGAATAATACTGACAGGGCTTTTCCCGAACTCTCAGCTCCAGCGCTGGCAACCTCTGCTGGAAATTGATGATCTGTGATCAGCCATACCGCTTACTATCTGCATCTCTACAAGCATGAGTGAATTTAAAATTGCACAGATTTTTAAGCAAGTATCTTCTGATGATTTTTACCATTTTTATAGAAATTAAGGTTTATTAGGAATTCTGATTCTTAATGTAAGAATTGATCCATGATACCACTGATCATGTCTTTACGTAAAATGTTGTTATTACTTTTCCAGGTAACCCCAAATGTTATTGATCATTGCAATGCAAAACAATAGGTATTTGATACTGGGCAAAATAGCACAATGCAAATCGCACACATTTTATACAGTTCGTAATGTATTTATATTAAATGTCAAGTAAAAGATATTATATTAAATACAATTAATATTACATAAAAGATATTGCAAATAAGTGCTTTTTAGAATTATTTCTTCCCACGTTGTAAATTTTGCCATGTATCATACTTTGTGTGATGATTTTTTTTTAATTATAGGCTCTCTTTGTTGTTGAAAATCTAAATTCTGAACATATTTTTAATCTTTAGGGGGTAAGGCCTAGGATACAGTAAATGATACAGAAGGTGTTGCAGAAGTTAGCAATATAAAAACAGCCAGGTTCAATAGCAGGTTGACCTTTTCAGACTGTCTCATTAATGTAGAAATCACCTGAAGTGACCTCAAATTTTAAGACATCATCTTTGGATAAATAACATCAGTATTATGTTAGGAGCCATTTCTTTGTAAAACAATTTTCTTGAGATTTTTTACATGATTTTTGTAATAGTAATCCTGAAATATTTGCAATCTGTCACTCACTTTCAATTTAAAATAGCATTATTATAAATGGGGGTTATATGCTTTTCAAAATGACAGAAATATAGTTTAAATATCCTATCACCAAGTGACAGAAGTATGTGAAAATCATAGAGTCTACAAAGTTATAAGCCTATTTAAATAAGTTAGAAGAAATCAGCACATTTCCCTACCTCTTAAAATTAAAAATTGCTCTCCATGAAAGCAGCCAACCAAATGAAACATTAAAGTATCATTAAAACATATTTCTGAAATTCACTGTAAGCAGTTAAATGTCTGGGTACATCTCTCATGATCCCTTAGCTGCTATCCATCATAAATATTTTAATGTAACCTTGACTTTATTTGTGGATCCATCTCAATCTTTTTAAAAAAGAATAAGGACTAAAATGAAAGTAACTGTATAAACACAAAAATAACACTGAGACATCTTTAATAACCTTTCGGTAACTGGGCCTCCATGAGCTATTTAGCTCTTGCCTTGAGGCTTATTTCTGCATGTCATATTTAAGAATTAAAATGCACCCCATTGTCAAGAACATGCAAGAATAATGTAACATTTTTACCCAAATTCTCGGTGAGACAAAATAGATAGGTATATCACCCATCATCACTATACCAAACTTCCTAAAACACAGTGAATCATCTTTCTCTTTCCCTACATTCTCTCATGTTACAGCTGTAGCCATCTCTCCCCTCTCCCCGGTTCCAGTTCCCCTTATTCCCAGAGAAAAAGTTTACATATTTGCCAGTAAAATACTGGAAACTGTGCATTCAAACTGTAGCAGTATCTTGCTCCAAATGCCTCCCTACATAATCTTTGGAGTGAAATGACTGAGCAAAGAATGGAAATGATAAATCCTTAGCCCTGTGGTTCAAGTTAAAAGGGAAGAGACAGATGGTATTAGGGAAAGTGGTGGAGAGAGTGTCGGGGACAGCAAAAGTGAAAAAGGTCAAAGAGATTTCACCAAAATATTCTTTGGCAAGTAGTTACTGTCATTCAAACACTGCTAAACATTGAAAAGTAAAAATAAAAAGCAAAGAACATATGCAAATATTCAGGGTAAATACTTAATTAAAAATACATAGTGTGCAGATGGCAGATGATGAGTACACTTAGAAGGAAAACTAACTGCTAGAAACAGAAGAAAATGTTAGGTTAAAGCTAATAATTAAAGAGGGCATCAGTTTCACAAAACAAGAGACCAAAAACTAAAAAACAAGGTAAAATTTATAAACAAGTAGCTTTTAGAACTAAGGCAAGAAACTAAGGCTAAGAGTAAAACCAATGTAGAACTTACCTTGCCGAAAATCAAGTCAGTAACATGAAAGACAAATTTAAGAAAACTTACATAAAGTGTAGATTAAAGCAATCATTTGAAGAAGTTAGAATATACATTCAACATAGTCAATCAGAAAAAAATAATCTACACTTTATAAAAGCTTTCATTTTAATATTTTAGTAGAATAAAACCTCATGTATTGCCTTTTTGTGGGATAAATTTAAAGCAAGTCACCTAAAGAGGAAAATAACAGGCCTCAGACTTTTCCTTAGCAAGGTTAGTCTGCAAAAATCAGTGGTGCAACAAGTAACCAAAATTTAGGAAGTCAAAAGAGTATGATTGCAAAATAAAATACTAATTTCGTCTGATGTTTAGTTATAGGGGCAACAAGACATTGCAATATTTAGAACAACTCAGAAAATACAGTATTCCTGTGGTCTTATTGAAAAATTTACTTCATAACCCAGCTGAAAGATAAATTGTGAATTTTAAACAACAAAACTGCCAATGAGAAATTGTGATATAAGAAGCCTGGTAGTAAGTACGGGTCATTTAAAATTAAAATAAAATCCAATATGATAATAATAGACTGAAATAGTTATTCGAGAACTTGTCAACAAAAATAGGCAAGCACATGAGAAAAAAGGTAATTGAATTTCCTTTTCTCACCAAAATAAAACCGAATTGAAGCAGATGACCCCTATTTACAGTAATGCTATTTTACATTGAAAGCGAGTGATTGCAAATACTTCAGGATTAGTGTTACAAAAATCATAAAATCACAAGAAAATTGCTTTAAGAAATGGCTCATAACAAAATGCTTTTAAAAACTTGTATCATAAATCTAAAGGGTTAATATCCCTAAGTATGCAAAAAACTTTTATAAACTTATAAGAAAAAGTAACCAATAGAGGACATTAAAAAGAAATCCAGTCTAGTAAATAAGCAAAGAAATACATAAGATTGTAATCTTTGGCCAGGCGTGGTGGCTTACGCCTGTAATCCCAGCACTTTGGGAGGCCTAGGCGGGCAGATCACGAGGTCAGGAGATCGAGACCATCCTGGCTAACATGGTGAAACCCCGTCTCTACTAAAGATACAAAAAAAATTAGCTGGGCATGGTGGCAGGTGCCTGTAGTCCCAGCTACTCGGAAGGCTGAAGCTAAAGAATGGCGTGAACCCGGGAGGCAGAGCTTGCAGTTGAGCCAAGATCGCGCCACTGCACTCTGGCCTGGGTGACAGAGCGAGATTCCGTCTCCAAAAAAAAAAAGAAAAAAGAAAAAAGTAATCTTTTCTATTAGATTAGATTAGTAGATTATGGACAAAATCCAAACTAGATTGGAGTATAGAGAAGGGGACTTTTCTGTGTGGTCTTGATGAAAGACCTATTTGGCACTGTCTTTCTGGAGGGAAGGTTAGCAGCATATCTCACCATGGCCAATATAATTCAGCAGTCCCAATTTTAGGAGTTTATTGCAAAAGATAATTGGAGTTTTGGAAAGATCTTAATTGATCATTTCTCTTTACTTTAGATTCTTAACCAATGGAGGACATCAAAGCCAATTTGGGAATACATACTTCTGATCTATTATTAACTGTATTTAGACCTCTCTCCTACTGATAAGACTTAAGAATATATGAAGGCTTCCTACTTCTCCTTCCTTACTGAATACTAATCCTTTTATGTTCATTACAATTTTTTTCCCTGTCTGCAGCTTGTCTTTTCAATGTAGTTAGATTGTCTCTGGTTCCCTAGAAGTGTTTCGTTTGTTTAACAAGGACCAACTTATTAGTCTTTTTCTTTATGGTTTGTATTTTTTGGTGTCACTTTTAAGAAATTTTGGCCTATCCAAATGTCAGTAATATATTTTTTTATTAAAAGTTTGTAATTTTTGCTATTGCCATTTAAATCTTTAACCCACCTGGATTTTATTTTAAAGTATTGTATGGGATGATATTTTATTTTATTTTCCATTTGGATAACCAATTCTCTCAACAGCATTTTTGAAGAATTTATACTTCCTCTACTGATTTGAAATAATACCTCTGCCATATACCAGGCTCCCACATGTATTGGGTCTGTTTCTGGACTTTCTACATATTCCACTGGCCTACTTATTTATCTCATAGCAATACCACAAGTTTTCACTATTGTGGAAGTTTTCATACTGACTTTCACTTAAGAGTAAATGATACTGTACATTAAACATTGAGAAATAAACCTTGCCAAGTAATGTCCAGTGCAAATTAAAGATCCCTGGCTAATAGACCTACCACCAGCATCATCAGGATGTCTATATCTGCCATTTGAGTCGAATGCCTGAAAAAATGTATCAAAGTGCATAGTGACATGCAATATAAAAAACTGACCTTATTGACCTAAAAATTAAAAATATACAATGTTCACATATATACGTATATGTACATATGTATGACATAACAGGAAATTCAGAGATAGATTAACTTTAAAGTTAATTGAGTCAAGGTCTAAATAGTATCATCGAGAAATGAGGCTTAATCTTAGAACCCATTTTTCTTAGGGTTACAAGATAACTGGTAGTAGCAACTAAAGCCACTTATTTGCTCTTTTTTATTTTTATTCAACAGAAAAAAAAGAAACTTCATCCTCTGTTATGAATTATTTAGAATAATTTAGGAGTGTGCCCATCATAGAACAACAATTATTATTGAGACATGCCAAATACCAAATGGCATTAAGGCAAGGGGTGAAATTACCGTGATTAGCTTAGAATAATCAGAACTCGCTTTTGGGTTTGAGGTCTACCCTGACACCACCATAGATGAAATGGATGTTGAAGAAATAGACCCATATCGACATCAGCTTTATTTGTTCCCAAACTTGTCTAATCTTGCTGTATTTATTAATCTGATTATATCATTTATTTTGATGTTAAGAATAATAAGGACTTCCATTTTTGGAGACGGCAGTAAAAAGTTGTCACACACATATTACCCCCTCAAAATCACATAAAAACAACAAGGAAATACCACCTTCATCTTTGTCAAAACCAAGAGAATGCTAATGGTCCAAACCACAAAATATAAAGATGATGGCTACTGTCATTACAGATCAACCAGAAGTGCAGGAGAAAATATAAGGAAGGATGCTCATAGTCACAGAGCTTAGAATGAGCTAATAGCTATATCTATATCTGTATCTATATCTATATCTATCTACCTATCTATCTGCTAATCTCCCAGGAGGAGAAACCCTAAAGTACCATTCCAGGAACGCTTGTCTGCAATAGCAGGACCAGGGTGTGCAGGCTTGGAGCAGATTCTTTCTGTAGCACAGGAAATTGACTGTTTATATGATAATAAAGAGAGCCTATCCGTTCTTTTCTTTCTTTTTCCTTACCAATTAAAAAACATAACAAGTGCTGGAATAATTGACACAAAGTTACTTCATACAGAAAATGCCTACTAGTTTGTAACTTGGCCAGGTCTCCACCTCCAGTGTACTTCCCAAAAGTAGGTATTCAAGGACAAAACCTCACTTCATCCAAAGATAAGGTGTAAACAAAGAATATGCATTCCAGGACACTGCAAGAAAAAATAGAAGAGGAACAGGAAAGAGAAATAGCAAATCAAACACACCAGAAAGATACATCCGTGAGCAGACAAAAAATATAATCAACTATTTTATCATGAATTTTAAAACATATGAAGCAATTACAAAAAGCATACAACAGAGATAAAAAAGCTCAAGGAAGAGATAAAGAAATAAAAAATTATAAAACTTGCTTTTAAGAAAGAGTAGAAAAGGAAAGATCTTGCAGAGTTTGGGGGGAAATTTAGAGCCACCCACAGAAGAAATAACACTGTTGAAAACAGACTAAGGCACATAGAAGACGGTAATGAGAAAAGTATCCAAAATGAAAACAAAATAGACTTGAAAAATTTTTAAGGTTGAGGAGAAAATTATAACTCTAGAAAAAAATGACTAAAATATACATAATTGGAATTCTTTTTAAAATATAGCAGAATGAATTGGGTGCAGTGGTTTACGCCTGTAATCCCAGCACTTTGAAAGGCTAAGGTGGGCAGATCACTTGAGATCAGGAGTTCAAGACCAGCCTTGCCAACATGGTGAAACCCCCTCTCTACTAAAAATACAAAAAAATTAGTCGGGCGCAGTGGTGGGCACCTGTAATTCCAGTTACTCTGGAGGCGGAGGCAGGAGAATCGCTTGGACTGGAGAGGCGGCAGTTGCAGTGAGCCAAGATCACACAACTGCACTTAGCCTGGCCGATGGAGCAAGGCCCTGCCTTAAAAAAAAAAAAAAAAAAAATGTGTATATATATGTGTGTGTGTGTATGTGTATGTGTATATATATGTATATATATCATAATATTTAACAATTTAGTTCCAGAACATTTTCAGAAATAAAAGAAACTTAATTTTATAAATGCAAAAAGACATTGAATTTCAGAGAAAAACATACTAGTAAAATTGCTATACATACACAAGGAAGAAAGAAAGGGAAGGGGGAAGACTGAGGAGAACCAGAAAATAAAGAGGAAGAGGAAGGAGACCAAAAATAGAGTTTGCTCCCCCCTCCTCGTTCTGTCTCTCTCTATTTCTTTTTTGAATGTCATTTTGGTTTTATGAAGTTTGATGTAACTGAATATTTTCAGATTATGGGCATTATAGAATTTTCATTAAAGAAAAAGACCTGTTTTCAAAACTTAGGAAAAGAAATGGTTCTATATCTAATCTGACTTACTGTGTGGATTTTTCTTTTATTTTACAGAAAACTGGGAACATTTTTGAATTTCAAAAACCTTGAAACTTGTTTAAAGGATGCCATTCTACTAGATTATTATGTATCTGGATTTTTGTGGGCTAGAGGAATGGATTTTTCTATTATTCAGTATTCAAAATTTATGACTTTACTAGCTATGTTACTTCAAAATCTTAAAAGTAAGTACATTATTTTTCTTTTTTTAAGTAAAACAAATTCAGTTTACCATCTAAATTGAGGTTCTTAAGCAAAAGTTACAGATTTTATTGTAATTTCTTTAATGAAAAATAAAGGTTTTTCCTGAGTATAGCAAATATATAGTTCATATCTCCATTGAGTTATAAAACCTCAAGTAATACTTAACAAAGGTTACAGTTTTCTTAATAGTCAATTTGCCAAAGATATGTTAATTTCATTTTAAAGTTGTATCAGTGTCATTCACCCTCTAAATATCTGAGGACTCTGTTATATTCTTGTAACCTTTCCGTAAATTTAAAACTACACTGAAATTAAAAGTTTATCAGTAATGATTAGCCATCTCTAGAATAGAATACTAGGAAGTTATAAAAAGGAAAAAATGAAGAAGCTTTCTGTGTACTATATGGGAAGCAATATATAGTTATTAAGTAAAGCAAGGTGCAGAACTACATGCTTTCATTTATAAAAGAGGCAAAAATAAGAATCTATCCATATTTTTATTTGTGTGTACACAAAGAAATGCTGGAAGATACAGAAAAAAACTAATAATAGATATTCCCTGGGGTGAATGGTAGTAAGAACCGGGCATGTGGGCAACAGATATTGGAGGAAGTCTTTTCATAAGATTTCTTCGTTTGTATTTTTGAAATATGAATACATCACTTATGCAAAAATTAAATTTTAAAAGAGAATATGTAACATGGACAGTCCTAAGTTTTGGCAACTTCTGAGCTGAGTATTCATACACTAGAAATAGAATAAAGGAAAGTAAAAATTTTCATGGACCTCACATCCCAAATTTGAGAACATATTTCTTTTTTAATCTTTTCCCGTAACTTGTAACTGACTCAATAACATTTTTTTCTAGATGAAACTTTATATTGTTGATATTACTGCAAAAATGAATTTCTAAAATCTGAGCAGGATCCCTCCAGCTCCTCATAAACCATGAGAAAGAAAGTACATATGTAGAACCTAACCAGAAAAAAAGCAAGGAATCTAGTTTTACCTTCTGGCAGGGAAAAAAAAAAAAAAAAATCCCTCCACACTTTTAAACTGAACAAAGTTATAGTCATCATTAGGAAAGAATGTAATTTTAGCCAAATGTGCCAAGGAAAAAGGTAAAGTATGTTTACACTTCAACTAGGTAGCAGTAGAGTCCTGAGCACATAGCCACCACTCCCATTCAGCAACGTCATAATAGAAAAAGCCCAAAAGCGCACACTCTGGGCCTCTGGCAGGGGTGTACTCTGTCCAGTGTGGGAATTCCATTTCATGCTAGCTCAGTCTCTGATCGATCCTTGTCTCAAACTTGGCTGCATATTTACCAGGCATTCTACAGTCAACCCATCTGGAATCAAATTGGATCAAGCTAAAAAATATGGGACACAGAATTTGGAGACTCGTCTTAACAGTATATATTGTGAGGTCTGGTTTTTCTAGGACCTAACTGAACATAAGCTGTAGAGCAAGTTTATCCAACCCATGGCCCGCAAGCTGCATGTGGCCCAGGACGGCTTTGAATGCGGCCCAACACACGTTCGTAAAGTGTCTTAAAACATTACGGGATTTCCCTTGTGATTTTTTTTATGCTCATCAGCTATTGTTAGTGCTAATGCATTTTATGTGTGGCCCAGGGCGATTCTTCTTCTTCCAATGTGGCCCAGGGAACCTAAAAGATTCGACGTTCCCACTGTAAAGTATTGGATAGACTGGATATTGGGCCTCCAGCCAGGTCCATAGGCCTAGATGGACTCCCCTCTGTATGATGTGAATGTTTGCAAGTAACTGTAGAATATTTTTTAGTTCTTATGATGCTAAATTGGTTTTCTCCTCAATAGGAACGGCAAATTCAGGTAACATTTATGTAGATTAACTTGTGCCAGTCACAGTGTCGATTGCTTTAAAAATATTGTCTTATTTAATTCACATGCCACCTTATGAGAGAAATTGGTAAGAGTCAGAGGGGTTCAGTGACTCCTTAAGGTCACACAGGGTCTACACTAGCAAGTGAGGGCCCATCCTCTTAAATACTACATCAAATGTGCTGGCTTCGGGCTAAATCTAGAAAGCACTATACACATGTAATAGTACCAGGAGTTCCATATGAACTTTTTTTTTTTGAGACAGAATCTAGCTCTGTCGCCTGGCCAGGCTGGAGTACAGTGGCATGATCTTTGCTCGCTGCAACCTCTGCCTCCTGGGTTCAAGCAATTCTCTTGCCTCAGCCTCCCAAGTAGCTGGGATTACAGGCACGTGCTACCACGCCCAGCTAATTTTTGTATTTTTAGTAGAGACGGGGTTTCACCATGTTGGCCTGGCTGGTCTCGAACTCCTGAGCTCAGGTGATCTGCCCACTTTGGCCTCCCAAAGTGCTAGGATTACAGGCGTTAGCCACTGCGCCTGGCCATGAATTTCTTATTTAATCCTCACAACGGCACTATAATTTTGAAAACAGGTATTGCAGTATTCTCATTTTACATAGAAAGGAAATGAGGCCAGATGTAGTGGCTCATGCCTGTAATCCCAGCACTTTAGGAGGCCAAGGCAAGAGAGGCATTTGAGGCCAGGAGTCCAAGACCAGCCTGAGCAACATGGAGAAACCCCATATCTAAAAAAAGACTGAAAAATTAACCGGGTATGGTGGCCCATGTCTGTGGTCTCAGCTACTTGGGATGCTGAAGTGGGAGAATCGCTTGAGCTCAGGAGGCAGAGGCTGCAGTGACCCATGATTGCATCATTGCATTCCAGTCTGGGCAACACAGCAAGACCCTGTCTCCAAAAATAAATAAATAAATAAAAAGAGACTCAGGTCACCTAACTACTAACAGTAAAGGTCAGTTATGAGGTATCATCCTACATTTTCCAATTAATTTTAAGTCTGGTATGTTCTTTCATTACTCTAAATTTTCAAGAATACATTTTGTTTCTAGAAGCTTTTGCTATTTGAGTGGTTTAATCTTTTATATTTTAATCACATCACTAAATGTGATTTTTAAAAGAGCAAATATTTCAGTTCGATAAATGAAATTATAACTTCCCTAATTTTTAAAGCAATTATCTACAGAAAGACATTAGACATAGAAAAACAGTTTTAAAGATTCAACTATTTTCAGAAGGAAATAGTCATATAAATGTATTTTTGTTTGATAAGTATAATTTCATCTAGAATTATAATCAATTATCTTAGAATTTCTCTTTTCTCTGCATCTCTAATTAATATCATTTTATTAATAAAAATGATTCAGATTTTCCATTTATTTATGAATTGCTTTTATCCAACAGATTTTTCATTTCTGAAGCTACTTCCACTATTATCAAAAGAAGTTTATCATGGAGAGAGAAATATACAATAATAATTGAATTCCACTTAGAATGATATAGGAAAACCTAGTTATCCAGAAATAATTCACTGTATCTGACATACATAAAAGATGATCTGGAGGGAGGCAATGGGAAATGAACCAATTGTAATTCATTAAACCAGATTTTAATTGTTGTATATAGTTTTTATGCTTCTTTCTAATTCCTGTAAGTGGAAAAGAAGCTATACTAAACAAATTACAAGTTCATGTTTATAGTGTCTTCCTAATATTTTTAATTACTTTCCTTTCACCTTATTAGTAATTTTGGTATTTAGGGTAGAGCACTTACACCCCAGTGGGAAAGAGCAGCTGCGTAATCCAGAAATACCTGGTCCAGCAATCAGCCTATGTTCTCGTAACTTCTTTTAATCTCCACCCCCTCCCTTCCAAATCAACTCCATTACAACAAGTGTAATGTTGACTGATGACTTCAGAGAGAGAGACAGGGATTTGGTTGGTGGGGTCCACACTGAGCAGCACAATTCCTGCAGATCCCACATTCAGGCTCCCCGCTGACATTCACCTCCCCCGGGCGGCCAGTCCAGCCTGGCTTTAGTGTCTTTCTACTCTCCACCTCCAGCATCCTCGGTTTTATGTCCACATACCCATCGCTTTTCCGCAAACATAGGACAATCTGGCCAGTCCACTTACCTGACTCCATCTTCCCGGGGAAGGGTGGATAGTGTGTGTGGGGGTTGTAAATAATATTTTATCTGTCACAGGTAACACTGAGCATAACGGAACCAAATGAAAAAAGAAAATGGAAGTTTATGTTTTTATTACAGACACTTTAAAAGTTAAGTCTAAGGTGTTCTTTTTCAACTGGACAAATGCCACACAAGACAGTTTCGGGTGTTTGTTTGCACTGGTGTGTAGCTGTGAGAGAAGACGAGAATCACTGAGCTGTTTACTTCTGGTGGTGGTGGCCAGGTTGTGTCACTCTGTGCATTTTCATCCGGCTCTCACCAGCACCACGGGGCAGACATTTGAGAAACAGCTTACATGAGTTAGCTGTTACATGTGGCTGTGGAAAAGAAAAAAAAAACAACTCGATGTTTTACATAAAAATCCATATTTCTGACTTCCATTGAAAATCTTCAGACCCAGATTTACACATGGAAACAATTGGCTAAAGCCCGGTGTTGATTGACTCCATTCATTTACATTTTCAGCTCTAAGTTCAGTTCTGCTGTCTGGTAACTGAACCTCCCATCTAAGTCTTCCATTCCTCACCAGCTGTCAAACATCTTTTTTTGTAGTTTTCATGCTTTTATTCTAAGATTGTAGAAAAAAGAAAAAACAAACCCTTTTCATTTTAAAGATTTTAAAGTACAATTTGAACTTTTTTCTTTTTTTTTTAATCCTAAAATGGAATCATAAACTCTACAGACAATTGTGTAGCATTATAGTAATTCACAAATGTTGGGGCGGGGTCAGTTGCTATTCCTGAGACAGAGTCTCACTCTGTCACCCATGCTGGAGTGCTGTGGCACCATCCCAGTTCACTGCAACCTCTGCCGCCCAGGCTTAAGCCATCCTCCCACCTCAGCCCCCCAAGTAGCTGGGACCACAGGCATGTGCCACCGTGCCTGGCTAATTTTTGGAATTTTTGAAGAGACGGATTTCGCCATGTTGCCCTGGCTGGACTCTAACTCATGGGCTCAAGTGATCCACCTACCTTGGCCTCCCAAAGTGCTGGGATTACAGACTTCAGCCACCGTGTCCAGCCAGCTGCTATTCTTTTGCATAAAATGTATTAATTTATTAAGAAGAAACAAGAGTTTTACCATTTATCCTCACAAATACTTAACAAAGTAAATTTTGGCACATTAAAAACATCTTAGATTATCTTATTCTGAAAACATCCATCAAAATAATACTTAAGATCTCTCTGGATTTTATTTCAGCACTACGTATGTCCTTAGAGGACAGCATAAAATGGCTTGGAGAAGTTATGGCTGAAATAGGACCAACACATTCACAAAAAAGTGAGGACTGGAATATCTTTGATGTAAAACAAGCCAATGCTATCATTGATTACTTAAAAATCAGGTATGGATTCTTTTCAGTAACATTTATTTTTCATTTCACATCTTCTGAAAAATGTCTGTTAAGTAAAAAGTAATTCAGTTTTTGGCAAATTCAGATATTTACAGAATTTATGCTGTAATTAGCCCAACCAATAATTAGGTAATTAAATCTTCTTTAAATTAGGTGTTCAAATCTTTCATCTAATAACCAAAAGTCAGAACAGTGAATAGTTTGGCTAACTTTGCATTCCCAGAAAAAAAGGTTTGCGTTTGATAAGTATAATTTCATCTAGAATTAAAATAAATTAAGAATTTCCATTTTCTTTGCATCTCTAATTAATATTTATTAATAGGATGATTCAGATTAATCAGATGCAATTACAATAGACTCTACATTTTAGGTAGTTGATCTTTCCAACTACCTGATTCTACATTTTGAAGAGCAACATTCATTGCTATTTAAATATTTATTTTGAATGCTTTGTATTAGAAATTGAAGAGATGTATGAATATACTTCCTCAAATTTATTACATCCCCTGAAATATCTTGTAATATTGACCAATTAAACTCATTAAGTCTTTCTTACTGCTTAGAAAATGATGGAAGGAAGGGTATTTTTATTACAGTGATTCTTCATTGGTGAACTAAGAGATTTGTCTTTTTATATCATCTGTCACAAGGTCTCCAGCAGAGTTGTGCATCTCTCTAAAGGGACATTTTTAGAGTTTGCAAATATTCAAACAAGAGTAGGTTAAAATCTTTTGTCAAGCTGAAAGCTTCTGCATAATATTTTTGTTCCTCTTATACTATATACTCCAGTGTTTTTCAACTTTAAAATTTAAAATTCTAAAATAAGAGTGCTGACTGATATCCTAGACATGCTCATGATTTGCTTGGCAAGGATTCTAGCTGAAATCTAGAAAGCTTTTTAAATACTAGCGTGTTTAATACGATAAAGTTTATATATTGGTTTCTGGCATGAATTAATAATGTCATATGATATAATATGGTTTTTACGTAATAGCATTTGATATAATGTGGTTTCTTAATATTAAAACATAGCTCCTAAGGGGTATCTCTCAGTAAAAGCCAAAGTAGTTTTCATATCAATTAAAGTAAGGCAAGGTCCTTGTGTTGGGGGAGATGATGGCAATCCAGAATTGGAGGATAGCCAATTATTCCTGAAGGTCTTTCTACCCGTCAGGGTTTGGGAATCACTGGGCAAGAGGAATTCTACTTTGCACATTGTGTTAGCATCCTTCTTTTCCTTCTCTATTTGAACAATCCCAGTTTCTCTTGCAGAACACATTTTTAAAACTGAGCTAGCCCAGGAAGTTTCTAATGGGCACAGGGACTGATAGTTAACCGGGGCCACAAAACCCATGCTATAATGACACCTTCTAGAAGGTAAAGGATGGCAGCTCTTTTCCCCTTCATCTTGTCTCTCTGGGCAAATGTTCGTTGACATATTTCTTGACATTGTCCTTCAGAAAACAATTAAGTTAAGAGAGGATGTCACCTTTAGATCCTAACCAGGGTAATTTCGCATATTATAAATCCCTAATATTATTACTTCACTAAAAATAAAACGAAAAGTAGTATTTAAGAAATTAGTCAAAGTAAATCACAACAATTGTTGATGCTGTTAAGTCTTCGTATTGTTATTTCAAAGAAATTATGCAATTTAAATATCCCTATTACAGAACTATAAAATATCAGTTAGTAGGATATCTGGAATTGATTCTGAAGTTGTGTAAAAGAAAATATGCTTTTCTACAACACCTGTTGAGAATCCCTCAAAAGTCCACAAATGAGAGTTTAGCGGGGACTGGGAGGAGGGGCAGCATCAAGAAGAAAAACTAATAGATGCTGGGCTTAATACCTAAGTGATAGGTTGATCTCTGCAGCAAACCACTATGGCACCCATTTAAACCTACACATCCTGCACATGTACTCTCAAAGTGAAAAGTTGAAGGAAAAAAGCAGTTTAATAACAACGAAATCATATGATATTTTTCATTTTGATTACTACAAAGCAATGTTATAAATATGAAGGCTACCCAGTTTTCAAAAGTATAAGTGCTTGAATTTAACCCCATACTAAGTTTACCCAACCACTAAAAGCCCTAGTCAATTTAGGTAGAGCAGTTTTTAGAACATGACCTATAGCACATGAAACTTAACTGACAATAAAATTGAAATTTCATTTGATGCCCTTAACACACTCTGTCATGTGTCTGTGATTTGAAAAAAACTAATGCCAAATTTCCTCCCCTACATGACTGTAAGTACTGGCAAATCTAGCTGTACAAATTTAGTTTTACATTTGTACAATGTATTGTATAATGTATACAAATATAAATACTTATGCAGCTTTTTAGTATAAAACATCATTTACATATATATGGCCCAAATACACGCCTGTCATTGTGGATTCTACCTATTTATGGGAATTAGGTGATAGTAATCTCAGGTGTACACTCAATATAAGAGGCAGGTACCCAAAATAAGAAAATCGACCCTGCCGCTCTGTAAACCACAGGGTATTGCACTTCCAGGCATCGAGCCAGACATCTTGAATTATTTTCACTTCATCTCTCTTCAATTTAGAACTAAGACTAAATGTTTGACAAAATAATCTAGGAGGTTGAGTCAGTCAGAAGAGGAAGAAAATGCATTATCACAGTTGAAGTGTCACTTTATTCCCATACAGCACTACCTAATCGCTCCTGGTAAATCTGGACAAGTCCTGGCCTTGCCCCCAAGTCTGCACCTTTGACCACCACATCCAAATCACGCATTTTATTTTCAGTGTTAAGAAGTGGATTTCCTTCCCTCTTGGCATGGGACAACCTAATTCCTATATGCAGTGAAAAGAATAAGTCTGAAAGACTATGAAATTTCAGGAAGGAAGATCTATGAACTAAATTCTTTGTGTGACACAAGATAGAGAAAGGGAAATTTTATGCTGGTTCACTGAGAGGAAGCCAAGCTGTTTCCAAAATACTCTATAGTCTTTAATTTTTCTACTTAAAATCGGTTGTTGCCAGTGTAATATTTTTGACCTTAAGGCTTTCTCTAGATAACCAGTGTAAGTTAGGGAGAGTTTGAATTTATTTTGTGTCATTGAATTATCAGACTTCACTAATCTTGATGTATTTTTCTAGCCAACAAATCAAAGTAATGTCAAAAGCTAAGTTACTTTTCTGAATATTGATGAGTAATTTGAATGTACAAGAGGTTTTTTTCCCCAAAAAATACCATGACAGAGTCTGCACACCCATCACTTTTTAATGGATTGTGTTACTAGTGAGATCAACTGCTAATATAACTCAGAGAGACTCAGCTGCCTGAGGATTTCTTCATTGATTTCAAATGAATTGAAACTTTGATCCATTACAACATCCAGGAGAAGCCATTATTATACATGCTCTGTAGCTACATTTTGCAAATGTTAATTTCTCAGTTATATTAAAATCAATTTCCTTAAATAGCAAAAGGCACCAGAGTGAGAGAGAAACCACTAAGACAATTTTTTGTTCTTGGGCATTTTGCTGTATTATGAGTCTATTAATTTTCTCAACCAGCAGGAAGAGAACTAGAAAAATTCAAATATTATCACAAACAGGATATTAGAAGTCAGCCCTTCAGGAAATTTTTAACTCTTAATAATGCATTGCTCCTTAAACTTACTAGAATACTTATTTTAAGGACCTCCTATCCTTTGGTTCTTTGTAGGGTTTGGTATGCTGACCACCTAGTCTTTAGGGTAAGAACTGAAGAAATGATCTTTTTTTTTCTGTCGCCCAGGCTGGAGTGTAGTGGCATGATCTTGGCTCACTGCAAGCTCCGCCTCCTGGGTCCAGGCCACTCTCCCACCTCAGCGTCCCAAGTAGCTGGGACTACAGGCGCCTGCCACCACGCCCGGCTAATTTTTTGTATTTTTAGTAGAGGTGGGGTTTCACCGTGTTACCCAGGATGGTCTCAATCTCCTAACCTTGTGATCTGCCCGCCTTGGCCTCCCAAAGTGCTGGGATTACAAGCATGAAGGAATTATCTTTCTTAAATTAATGTTTCCCTTTCATGTGTGACCGAATATTCTGCAGAAAACTCAGACATTTTCTAAATGGATTTTAATTCATGCACCCTCATTTTTCAGGTATTATTAGAGATTAATTTAACATTGAAACAGTTTGAGAATGTGAGAAGTAATTGATATAGAGGTAGATTATATAATTCAGTGCCATTTTTCCAGAGGAAAATGACTCTTGTTTGCAGCAAAACATAGCAAATAATGTGAAGTTTCATGTTATTTAGGAATGGTGCATTATTTGCTTTTAAGCTAGGAAAAGTCAAGATGCCATCCAATTTCTCCCTTATTTCTAACTTACCCACTCATTACAGATGGATTTACTGATATTATTCTAGGTATTGTGTTATATTGTCAGCTCCTTAAAAACTAAAACTCGTAATTTCTTAGCATTTCCAGACAATTTCTTTTGGAATAAAGGAGGGTACTAACTCTATTTTGGTGTTTGATAGCATCAGCTTAGTCAATATGAAGTTTCCTTTAATAAATGTCTTTACATATTGTGGGGGTTTTTTTCCTGAAATCAACATATCAGAGTGCACATTTATTTTATATTTCAGCTTATTTCAACACTACAAGCTATACGAGTTTATGTTCTTCTCTGCCAGGGAAGAAATTGTGATAGGAACTGAGGTAAGTAATTTATCTAGATGGAACCAATTAAGCAGAATCACTTAATGCATGCTGATCAGCATCTGGATCTTTAACTGCTTAAAGCAACTTCTTGTCAAGATTATTCAAGTGTTAATATAACCAACTCGTAGGTTGCAAAAAGAATAATTGTATAAAGCGATCTTTGGATTAGGAAAATAAGCTGTCTTTTGGCATTAAAAGCATTGTTAATCATTTATACTTTGTGTATTTATGGATTATTTGACAAAGTTCTATTGGATAAGGTACATATGTCTTCATAAAAATAAAATCAGAAAAACTGATAAACTAGTAATTTGCAAAAAGAATAATTATGTAAAGTAAATGTAATGATAACTCAGTGAAATCCCTTCTAATTTCGCTTTTTTTTCATTCTACTCATTGTTTAAGACCTAATTTAAATCCCACTTCCTCAATGAATCAAACTTACCTTAATTGTATCATAATCCCAAACAAAAGGTTTAGACAAACTCTGTAATCAATCCTATTATTGTGTGCCAACTGATCTCTTATTGCTGAGTTTGGGCTACTGTCGCACCAATAAGCATATCAATATTCACCGTGTTATATGGTTTCCTAATTGTTTCCTGTGGGTTGATATAGTCAGTACAACTCAACAGTAATTTTCCTGAAGACAAGGATATCTGCTGCTTTTCTGCTACAGCATATAGTACAATGTTGGATACAGTAACCCCTCAATTAATACTACATAAACAATTCAGTGCCTAGGACAGCAGTTCTACAATGAAAGGTCTATCTGGAGACACTTTCAAACAGGCTTACTTCTAGTCATATATTTGTAATTCCTAGAAATGAATCCTGAGTAGGAAAACATTTTTTTTACTTTATTTTGTTTTATTTTATTTTTTATTATACTTTAAGTTCTGGGATATATGGGCAGAACGTGCAGGTTTGTTAAATAGCTATACACGTGCCAGGTGGTTTGCTGCACCTGTCAACCCGTCATCTACATTAGGTATTTCTCCTGATACTATCCCTCCCTTTACTCCCCACTCCCCGACAGGCCCTGGTATGTGATGTTCCCCTCCCTGTGTCCATGTGTTCTCATTGTTCAACTCCCACTTATGAGTGAGAACATGCAGTGTTTGGTTTTCTGTTTCTGTGTTAGTTTGCTGAGAATGATGGTTTCCAGCTTCATCCATGTCCCTGCAAAGGACAGGAACTCATCCTTTTTTTATGGCTATATAGTATTCTATGGTGTATATGTGCCACATTTTCTTTATCCAATCTGTCATTGATGGGCATTTCGGTTGGTTTCAAATATTTACTACTGTGAATACTCCTGCAATAAACATGTGTGTGCATGTGTCTTTATAGTAGCATGATTTATAATCCTTTGGGTATATACCCAGTAATAGGATTGCTGGGTCAAATAGTATTTCTGGTTCTAGATCCTTGAGGAATTGCTACACTGTCTTCCACAATGGTTGAACTAATTTACACTCCCACCAACAGTGTAAAAGCATTCCTGTTTCTCCATATCCTCTCCAGCATCTGTTGTTTCCTGACTTTTTAATGATCGCCATTCTAACTGCCAAGAGATGGTATCTCATTGTGGTTTTGATTTGCATTTCTCTAATGATCAGTAATGATGAGCTTCTTTTCATATGTTTCTTGGCTACATAAATGTCTTCTTTTGAGAAGTGTCTGTTCATGTCCTTCACCCACTTTTTGACGGGGTTGTTTGTTTTTTTCTTGTAAATTTGTTTAAGTTCCTTGTAGATTCCAGGAAATCATTTTAAGGAGACTAAAGATGCCATTAAAAAATAGTGCTTCTGTAGGTCCTCAATTACTTTAGGGGGCTTTGCTGCCTCCTAGAAGTACCAGGGACAGGAGTGGCAATAATCAGAAATAAACAGTGAGTAAGGGGATATTCACATTACCTTTGTAATTTTCCTGATATTAAGAAACACATGGAACATGCCAGCTCTTCTGACTTCCTGGGTATTGTTATTCTGGAATTTATAAATTACTTGCTTCATAAACACCTCAGTCACCATTCCTCACTCTTCATTTGGGTACTTGTTCTAATGCCAGCCTTTTAAAAGTGAACTGCCAGAAAACAAGGAACCCTTTTTGCTTCTGACTTTCCTAAAAATTACTTCTTTGCAGTCTCCTCATACTGTAGCTTAAATTAGGTGTCACTTGACAAAGTTTCACTGAAAAACGTTTCCATGTCAGAATTACATCATATCGTGTGACAGCCCTTGCAATAATTATCAGTTTGGAATATAATCCTATCTCATCTATTCAAGCAAAACTTTGGGGAAATGATAGTGGCTTCAATAACAGCATAAGTAGATATTTAGAGTGATCAAGAAAAAATTTCAGAAAGAACTCCCTTTTCCTTTGTTAATTACACAATCATGCCTTTCTTCGATATTGTAAGGATATATTTAGGTGACATTTACACTATGGAAAGATAAAATGGAGAAAGTAGACAGGGATTGGCTGCTTTATTTTCCATTGTCATTTGTATTTTCCCCAGGCTGACCAGGGCAATAAAAAAAAAAATCTTTAAGAGAATGATGTTGGGTCTTTAAGAATTAGGCCCCTCATGGCATTTTAAAGGATTAGTGAAAGTATTTTATGACATTTTAGAAGTGTTTGCTAACCTTTGGTACAAATATCTGTTTTTTAATTAACAACCTTTCATGGAGGAGGTAGGGGCCTGCCCCAGTAATATGATTATTCATGCTGATATCAGGGCGCTGGGACCAAATAATGGCCACAAGACAAACACACGAATGTTTGAAATTTAACTCTTAGGCAAGCATTCAAGTTAGATAACACTGATGAAATTTAGTTTCTTTAATCATGGATAGATGAGAAAAAAACATAAATCCCCTCTAATCATAGAAGTGTCCATTTCATAAGTGAGAACAGAATGATGAAATAGAATATCACCATTTGTCAACCTTTAATAAAATAATAGATCTAGGTAATGATGATGAGTAGCTCCTGACATCACAAAAAGAAAGAAAACCAGACATCACTTGCTTGTTAATAAAATTATACAAAACCCCATATAAATTGCTCTTGCAGTTTGAACTGGATAGTCTTTTAGTCGGTCTTCTAACACTAACTTCCCATTTACTGGAAATATGGAAGATAAAGGAATATGTTAAGGATATCACAAAAAGGCAATTAGCAAACCAGGGTATAGGAGATCCTATAGGACAGAAGACATGGAATATTCAACAATTAAATTGTAAAGAAATAACAGAAACATAAAAGGTGAACCTGTGGATTAAAAGATGACTGAATCAAATTCAACGTAGGTATCTTATTTGGATCCTACTTCAAACAGACAGATAGACAAGCCAAACCACAAACACAAAACAGTTATGAGATCATCGAAGCATTTGAATATTGGACACATAGTTGATGATGACTGTTACTAATTCCTGGAACTTGTTAGTGTATTCCTTTACATGGTAAAAGGGACTTTGCAGGTTTGATTAAGTTTATGAATTTGAGATGGAGCGATTATTCTAGATTACTGAAGTGGGATCAATGTAATCTCCATGTAAGAGAAAGAGAGAGACAGGAGGGTCAGAGTCAGAAAAAGGGAGATTTGAAGATGTCACACTGTTGGCCTGGAAGTTGGAGGAAGAGGCCACAACTTTATCAACTGTCTTGTCATCTCCTTCTCATAGTTCTTTTTAATCCTTAATTATTATTGTTCATTTTTCTTAAATATGAAATTTAGAAATAAACCTGTGCATATTTGGATTTTTAGTATGTGGCATATACAAATATTTAGTAAATTGGCATGTAAAGTTACTTGGGATAATTGGCTATGTGTTTGTTAAAAACAAATGAGATTTTTACCTTATACCAAACTTAAAACTAAATCCAATTTATTAAGAGGTTCATTTCCCATAATGGAAGACATATTCCTTAATGGCAAACTATAATTTGGTCAACACTTCCACTGAAAACAACTGGAAAAACTGGACAAGATTGTGTTAAGACTTAAATATTTGAAAGCTCAGCTAGCAAAGCTCAAAAAAGATTATGAGCCTGACAGTCACAAATGCTTTCTACCTATAGGCATCTAAAAGTTTGGAAAAGGTGGCTAAGAAGCTTAAAAGCTGAGAAGTGAAGCTTTGGTAGACACATGGAGCTAGGAGAACAAAAATTGGAGGGGGAAAAGAATATAGCAAATTTTACAAGTAGCATGTTGGGTCTGCACAAGACCACATTTTAGGACATCAGCCCTAACTACCATGGACTGAACTTCAATTCCAAATTTTCTCCATTTCTGGTGGATTCAGGTTAGCTGTGTATAGTGTTGTTAACTTCCTCTGTAAAATAAAATCATGCTACACTCCAGATTGTATCAACAGTTTTTCATAACCAATGTCTGTTACATAATAAAAACCACACAGAAAACAAAAATAGACCACAAGTGTTCCAGATGATGGAGTAATTGGTCATGTACTTGAAAATAATTATCCTTAAGAAATATTCTAAAAAATATTCTTGAAAATAAAATGTATAAATTTTAGCAGATAAAAATGATTACCATATTAAATGGAAGTTCTGAAATAGAAAAATACAATAAAAATTCAAAACCAAGTGGATGTGTTTAACAAGTTAGTCCATAGCTGAAGAGAAAAATTAGTAAACTGGAAGATAAATCAAAAGAAAAAATCTAAAATAAAGCATGGGGATGCAAAAGCATGGTAAACACAGAAAATGGATGAGAGAGTATGGATATAGTAAAAGGTATAACGAGAGAACAAAAGTCAATTCTAGAATGAGAATATAGAAGTCACATGTGAAGAGTTAATTTTCCAGAACTAGTCAACACCATTAGGACACAGATTTAGGATTTACTTGAACCTCAAATACATGTCAATCCCCACCTAAGCATATTATAGTAAAATTTCTAAAAACGAAAGATGAAGACAATCTTAAACCCGGCCATAGAAAACAAAAGTCATATGTCCTTC